AAGTATATCTCACAACGAATAATGCTCTACTTATGGAAACCAAGATTCTGGTTGTATGGGCAACTAGATTAGCAGGATTCAGATTTTGTCAACCAACGGCTACTCAATCAATTTTATACAAATCTGTCCAAGGTGAAGATTGGGAGATAATCCTCTGAAGACTGTCCAATGACTAATTTGGAAGTGAATGAGTATAAAAAGAGATTAGCGAGGAGCAGAAGGTATTGAATGAAATCAAGAATTAACAAGTCCAAAGTCTGAGCATACTCCGATTTGACTACTTGTCTTTCCTGAGCTAAACACTGAGATCTTGAGGGACATTTTATAAGAGTGATTGTGTGAGATAGAGAGTTTTATCATTCACAAAGTGATATCACTTAGAACTTGTAATTCTTCTTGATCACATAGTGAAATCCAGCCGATAGGCTGTCAGCGTGGGAGAGGGGACATAGGCTTATTCTAAGCCGAACCACTATAATCTTTTGTGTGCAGTTTTTCTATTCCTAAACTCCTATTTTATATATATACTGCACACTAGCACATTTATCACAAAGTCTGATTGTTTTTCAGACTTTAATATTGATCATTTATTTTCGCTTTAAAAATTGATCAAAAAGTTTTAGATCACCTATTCACCTCCCCCTCTAGGTGATTCTTGCTAAGCTATGTCAAGTTATAGGAATGTATCATGATAGAAATATAGTAATTGTATTCATAGAAGTGAAATTACTTTTCCTTGAACTGGATTGAGATATTTACTGAAAACTCATGATTGCTAAATTTTATCTACGCCTTGTTTAGACATATCTTGCTTTCTAGCTTCGTTTGTCAAAGTCTATGATACAAAAAGTACAGCAAGTTTGTGTTATGTGTGTGCATGTGAAGAATTACATGATGAATGGGATGCACGGTAGATTTCCGCTATGTTTTCGACTTTGAATCTGGTTGTTATTGTGTAAAGAACTCTTCGCAATCTGTAATTGATAGAGACATGGCAAATTGAACAAAATTGACAAATATTCTTCCTCGTATTGCTCATCTAAATACATGAAGGTGGTGATTGTGCATCTGCAATTACTGTTTTTCAGTATGACCATTCCAATCCGATCAGTCATCTCCGAATAGACCAAGCATTAGCCATATGTAGCATAGATCCCTGAGTTTCATGAGCATGATTAAGAATAGAGGGGAAGCCTTAATAGAAAGACCCCAAAACTCACACCACCGGCCTTTGACCCCAAAATTAAACTTCAATGCGCTAATTGAAAGACAAAAAATCACACCCTATTCACAGCACAAGCAAGACAAAGAGGGGAAGCAAACCGATTGCGTGAGAAAGCAGGTCAATCATAGTTACCTAGAGGCATTGAGAAGAGAGGCTTGCGCAGTCGATGAGGGCATTGTCTCGTGAGAGTAAACAAGGAGGACAGAGTCAATGCCAGTGAGGAAGACAGAGTCGGAGTCGACGCCGACAAGGAGGACAAAGTCAGATTCAGAGTAGATTGTGTGGGAAAGCCTGTAAATCACACTTACCTAGAGGCGTCAAGAAGAGATGCTCGTGCAGTCAATGAAGGCATTGTTCCGTGGGAGTCGACGAGGAGGACAAATTCGACGTCGGCGAGGAAGACAGAGTCGGAGTCGACTCCGACGAGGTGGATGAAGTCAGCTTCGGAGTGTAGGTGAGCGACAGCGTGTTTTGGCCGAACTTTGTTGAAGAGATCGTGTTTCTTTGTTGAGCAATGGCATTGTTCCTTTTCTATTTTATTAGGTCAACAACGAAGACCAAAAATTATTTTACTGTTGAAATTATTTCTATTTCTATTTCAGAAATAGAAAAGTGGATTTTTTTTACTTCTGATTTCTCTGTTCCAAACATATTTCTGGAGTAGAAATTTGTTCCAAAAATAGAAAAATAAAATTGCGTTACCAAACAGATTTCTATTCCAAACCTATTCTCGAGAACAAAAAAATAGAAAAACAGAGACACATAATGGTTATCATGGGTGCTCTAAATACATAGATGAGATAACCATCATTTACCTAGGGATGCCAAAACTAAACAAGGAAAGCTACTCGAGTCGACAAACTCGAAATCTTATCAATTAAACGAGAAGCAATATCAAAACTCAAGCAAATAACTAACTAAGACTTGACTAAACTATTATTTGGCAACCAAATGACTCCTACGTGCTAACAAAAAGCTCGCTTAAAGTAGTTATTTATTGTTGTCAACTATGCACAGCTCAAGCACCAAAACTTCAAAAATTCGCTTTGACCAAACCATAACTTTGAATTGATTTTCATTAAATCCCACGGCTTCACAACACCCTAAACTCTTTGTTATCACGTAATTTCACAACTTAGTAACTTCTAAATCGAATCCATCAACTTGAATCTACATAGATCTGAATTTATGGCTTAACTTCGAAAATTCCTTTGATTAGATGAGCAAAAGGTTTGAATCATTACCAAGCGCTATGAAACAAAATTAATCCAGCTTGTTGAAGTCTCCGAAGCTTGTACACGCAAAACCCCCTTCTCTTCTTATTTTTCCTTCTTCCTTTCTTTTTCCTTTTACTTCTTTCTTCTTTCGTTTTTTTAGGGAGAAAGCCACAAAAAAAAAAAACACCCCAAACTATGCCTACTGTAACACATTTACCTTGAACTTTTTTTGTGACATCAAAAATCCCAAACCACGCCCATTGTAACATATTTACCCTAAACTTTTTCTTGTGACATAAAAAAACCCAAATTAGTACCTGTGTGATAGATTTGATTTTTCAACCAAAAAAAACAACGTTATTTTTATTTCACTTAAGCCACATGAGCGCCATGTCGACACTATTTGCTTTCCGGCATCCATGTAGGCAGATTTTTAATGGTTATCATTTACAAGACTTTTACGTACAATAGATGTGTCGCACACGTACAACTTTGAGATTTTTGGTGTCATGAACAAAAGGTTTAAGGTAAATGAGTCACACCGTGCATAGTTTAAAGTTTTTGGTGGCTTTTGCCTTTTTAAAAAAAATTTTGTTACATTCTTCCCTAAAAAAATATTTCGTCCTCGAGATTTGAAATTACCTCAAATTTCAAACAAGTGAGAGTATTTGCGCTTTGCCTTCTCCTCAAGCTCTCAAGTGACCTCTCTCTTGGTGTGATGAACTTCACATATGGAATAGTTTGGCTTTGCAACACTTGATCATTCCCATGGACGATGTGAATAGGGTACTCTTCATAAGTTAAGTTCTCTCTCAACCTCAATGGTGTGAAATCTAGCACATGTCAAGATTTGGCACATATATTTTCGTAACAATGACACATGGAACACATTATGTACACCTGATAGCTCTGGTGGCAAAGCTAAATTAAGCAATTATACCAATCTTCTTTAAGATCAAGAGCGGTCTAACGTATCTTGGACTTAACTTTCCATGCGTGTTGAATCTCGTAACGACTTTCATAGGAGACAGTTCCAAGAATACGTGATCCCCCACATTAAATTCCACCTTGCATCTTTGAAGGTCTACAGAACTTTTCTGACGACTTTGTCCCATTTTGAGATGCTCCCGAGCCATCATGACTTTCTATTTTGGTTGCTGAATAAACTCTGGGCCAATTAGTCTCTTTTCACCAACATCATCCACTTATAATATTTTAGTCGAGTAATCCACAATTATGCTAATTATATTAGTAATATTATTATCGTTAACATATTATTAGATATTATACCTATATCCATATGATATTAGCACATAATTAGTACTAACTTATATTTCATAATCAATATAACAAAGGATATATATATCATAATATGCTAATAAAATGTCTATAGCAATTAATCATTCATCATTCATTTTATATAACGCGCAATCATTTTAACATAATTTTATGTTAGTAACAATAATTATAATTGTTCTAGTTTTAAGAACCATTGCATCTTTTCAATATCAAGTTTATCTTAGAAATTTATATATAACAATCTAAATAATTAGCGATTATTTTAGTTATAAAAATTTATTAATCCTACACAATGTTCAACTTTTTGTAGAAAATTTTTTTTGTGCTATTACAAAGGCAAGTCTTTAGATATTCTCTTATAGATTGAGATTTTAAAATTGAAAAATCAAGGAAAGGCCACATAAGTGCTCTCATTAAAGAATAAAAGTGCCCTCTTTCGGGAGAAAAAAGGCTTGTTAAAATGTGGATTTGGAAAACGAAAGCCAATAAATTGGATAGGTGCTCAACTTGTTCTGTTGAATGCATAATGAACAAAAACTTCTGTAGAAGTTTTTTCTATCAGATGTAACACCTTTTCAAGATTCTAAGTAGCCAATCGTCCCTTGCCATTTATCGCAATTCGGGTTGTTATTGTTAGTTCACGAATCGTGCGCATGTAATATCCTTTCTGACGAGTATTCACGCCACATATTATAAAGCAAACTAAATCACACACAACAATGTAGGCAATCGTGCCATCCTATGGGGTCAAACACGTTATAAATGCGGACATTACTCATGTTATATGAGGCCATTTGCCGAGATACAGAAGAACAGCAATGCCGGACATACGAAAATCGGTCCACAAAATTTATTTACTAAGTGATGTGTTAAACTGTAAGTGACCTTTAAACAAACGGATAATCTGACCCATCACTTAAGAAATCAGTATTTTAAGTTACCCTTACTAAGTCTAAGAGGAATTCAATCGATTGTATAGCATTCCATGTTGGCCCACCAATCCATGCTTACCCAACTCGGATTGGACATGGAATTCAATAAAGAAATGCAATAAAATAAAGAAAGAGAAAAACTCTTGAAATAGTTCGGAAATCATATGTCAACCGTTAATTTTACGTACCAAAAATCATTATTTGTTCTTTAACATATGTCAATGCCGAGAACTTCCTCATCTCATTAGAGGCAAGAAAGACATACATGCAGATGGTATCCCCAACTCCTATACGTACATACTAGAGAAACACACAAAAGCATATCTCTTTTAGCACTTGAATCCTTTTACCACAATAACGTTGTACCCCCTTCCTCATACTCCTCCAAATGTTATAATTGGCATCATAAGTATGAAGCAAATGATACTACACATTATCAGAGGATTACACCATAAAAGATGTCTCTCCATATATGTTGCATCCTTTTTAAGTTCTAATCGAGTTGAATGCGTCGCATCTACTTCTGATCTCACCTTTCCGACCGGTCTTGACGCCATAAACACTGAGCTTCTCCATGGCACGCGCAAACGCCATGAAAAACGCGCTTTGGTCCTTGGCGTACAGCTCCACGAACGGCCTTGTCCTAGGGCTCGCGTACATTGCATGGTCTATGGCCAATAGCCCTAATCCGCGTGGCAGGTTCTGGTAATACATGTTGTCGAACTTTCCGGGCGTCATTATATCATTGAAGGCGGCCATGCCGCCATCACGAGTGTAATTGGAGCACATCTGCCTTAACCCAGCGGCGAACTTGGGATTTAAAGCGGGATCAGGGCCCGAGGTCCTGCCATAATTGAAGATCCTGTCGCTGAATTCCTTGCAATGAGAGAACCCAATGGTGTGTCCGCCCATTAGAGCCGCGAATTCTTGCACGGTGAACCCTTTGGACTCGAAGATCTTGATGGATTGATCAATGGTCATGGTAGTTCTCGGAAGATTTCCTTCGACCCTGGATGCCTTCGAGACCAAGCCATCCTTCCTACCAAGCTGAACCGTGTAGAACGGACCGCCAACCATGGTGATAAGGTCCCGGGTGGCTTGGGCCAATATATCGGCACATGAGACCGTCTTAGGGCAAGAGAGCTCCAAGGCAGTCTTGGCGCGAGTGACCACCTCGAACGCATCCCCTGGGAGAGACAGGTTGATGTCCTGGTCACGCTCAGCCTGGTTGAAGGAGTTGGAGGACACGAGGACGGAGGCGTCGCAACCCTCGACCAAGCAGTCGTGGACGAAGAGGCGGAGCGTGCCGGCGGCCGTGGTGGGTGTGGACATCTGCTTGTCAGTGATGGTCTCACGGACGATCCTCTCGAAATCGGGGCATGACTTCTTGTAATAATTGGGGTTGAGCTTGGCTTCGGAGAGAGAGATGGAAGAGAGGAGGAGGAGGAGGATCACATGGTGGAAATCCATGGCGATTCGGATTGGGAATGAGAGAGACGAAGGAGGGCTGTCCAGCTTCCTCCTTCTCAAGCTGTTCCCTACGATGAACAAGGAAGGAGAGCGGTCGGGAAGAAGAAGACATGCAAAATGGATCAACCAAATTGAACAGAACGGGAATGAAGAAGGTGGAAAAGAGTGGATGGGAGGGATTTTAGGGTTTGTTTTGATGATAGGGGTGTGATGGAAAGAGAAGCAAAGATTATGTCCATCCGTCGAATTTATTACTTTATCTTTCGTCTTTTTTTGCATTGTTAAATGGAAAAGAAATTCCATCTGACGTTGCAAGGCATTGATGTTCTTTTTTTCTAACTTTAAGAGAATTTATTGGTTGATTTTTATATTTAATGAACAGCATCGATATGAGATTATTCTTATTTCTTCCCCATATCGTATTGTAGCTTCAGTTTGCTTGTGAAGAAATCTTAATCGAAAAAGACATTTGCAAGATAAAGATTCAAACACTTATACATGACCCCTTGTGGATACTCAATGTGAAATGAAATTCCCTCTCTCAAAGTGGGGTTGAGAACGCCCTTTTCATATGTAGTTAATAAATGCATTTATTTATATTGTATTAAATAAAGAGAACCGCATACTTCTACAGAATCTCAATCAATTTTCCTTTCCTTTCTAAAGTATCCTCAATTATTTGTTGTACAAATAGAGAAAAAGTCACAAAAAACTTCAAATTATGTCCACTATAACACATTTATCCTAAACTTTTTTTTGTACGATCAAAAATCCCAAATTATATCAATTGTGACATATTTACCACAAACTCTTTTTATGACATCAAGAACCTCAAACTTATATCCGTATGACACATTTACCTTCCGTCAAGATTCTGTTAGATAATTTTTCAATCAAAACGACGTAGCTTTTGTTTCATTTAAGCCACGCAAGCACCATATCCACACCGTTTGCCTTCCATCATCTATGTAGACAGATTTTTAACGATACTCATTGACGGAATCTTGATGGAGGATAAATATATCATACATGTACAAGTTTAGGATTTTTGGTATCACAAAAAAATGTTTAAGATAACTGTGTTACAGTAAGCATGGTTAGGTTTTTTTTTGTACAAATGTTATGTCCATGACAAATGAGTAAATTGCTAATTTTATGTTAAGTTTAAAGCTTTTCTATTGTATAGTCACCTTCACAAAAAGTTCAAATTTTAAAATAATTCTCTCTTTCCATATGTATGCGTTTACAATTTCTTTTCGATGTGTATTTTGGTATCGTGTATTTGTATCAATTCCTATTTTTCAAATATTTCTCAATATGGTGACTTTTGCTTAATCCTTTTTTTCAAATATTTCTCAATATGACGACTTTTGTTTAATTCTTCAAATGTCTTACCTTCTTGCGCGACACAAAGCACATGTGCATAATTGCTAGTACGTTCTAGAGAGAAGAGAGTTTCCTACTTTTTAGGTATATCTATAAAACAAAAAGGTCACCGCTAGTGCTCAAAAACTCATTTCTATATATGCAAGGTTTTTGTTAACATGCAGAGAACTAATTAAGTTAATTGAAAATAAAAAATTGCAATTTTTTAGACACCTTGAAAACAAAAGATCTATACACTTTCAACAAATTATTTACTTGAGAATTCTATATTTTCAAAGTATATGTAATAAAGCTAGACAAATTCTCTTGTGGGCACTCTCTAACGTTCATATATAAATACTTGTGGGCACTCTCTAACGTTCATATATAAATATATATATATATATATATATATATATATATATATATATATATATATATATTGTTCTTTAGTACTTTTTATGCGACTTCTCATCAATGAGACAATATGTTTGTAAAATACTGATAATTTTACATAAACCATAAGTATGTATTTGAATTTCAATAAAACTTCCGTCTCTCACATATTTGCTCATGTCAAGAAAAAATACTCCTTCTTTTAAATTAAAATGCATTATAAAAGTATGAGAACACTCTGTATTATACTTAGGTAAAAACACTTTAATTTTTTACTTAGCCCATATCATTTCATTAGTCACTTACTCATGTAACATGTCAATTATCATATATGTACCAAATATGATTATATAATGTCATATTGACATAAAAAAAACATAATATCTTTCCAATAACATCATTAGATAGCTTTATAGAATAAGAAAATTTAGTTGTCCGATGCGATATTTTCATAAAAATTTCCAATCCAAATAGGGGTACTTCGTATGTAAATTTTGCTTATTTGTAACATATTTAGTGAAGACTCATGATAACAAACAAAAAATTATTTTAACATACTAATGCCAAGTCTCCTACACGTAATTTTAACAAAAATGACGGTAGATACCCGTCTATGTCGCATACCATTTAATTTCCATCCCGTATATTATTAATAGAGCACGATATAACTTCGTATAAATTTCTATAGATTTGTTTATTTTGATACACACATCTTCAAATTAGATTTGATTTGGGCCTGGTGGCCCGCCTAGGAAATGGTTAGGCCTAGGAAAATACTCTACACGTAAAGCCTGGTCCCATATCATTTTACTTATGCTTATCTTGTAGGCCTCTAGTCAGTTCTTTGCTTTCACTTGAAAATGTACAGAGTATATCATTTACAAGACTATATATAAATCTATTGTCCATATATTACAAAGTATCCTGCAGACAATAATAGTAAAGAAACTTGTTTTGTTTTAAAAATTGCTACAAAAAAAGATACACATAATGAGAAAATTTTCGCCACCCCATTAGGAATAAATTTTTGAAATATATGCGACGCGTTTTAGTTATATCTAATCATGGGTTGGACCGACCGACGGGCTCTACTATGCCCACCTCCAAATAATCATGTTGGTCCCTAATTTTGTTGTGTGGGCTTACCCCAATTATTTAGGGCCCGGCATGCCCATCATATTTATCAAGAAAGAACTAAAACTTTCAATAAGTGAAATATGTAAAACCTTATATATATACACATTTTATTTTAATTATACAAGGTTATTTTGCCTTTTATTTCTTTTTTATATTTACTTTGTAAAAGTCTTTTAGCTTAAAATTTCAAAATTGAAGCATATTTCCCGCGGCCGCTGGTCTAACCTGCCCATCCTTATTCTAAGAGGACTAGGCACTTAATTGGGCTCGAAAAGTTCGGGTCGGGTGGACCCGGTTCACGCAATCGAAGTTTCACACGCATCAATGTGCAAAACACTTTAAAAAATTATCTCATTTCATTGTCAGACATAGAGAAACATTTGAATAGGTACTAGAGAAGACCTAATTCACTAAACTAGAAAACCAAATGGGATAGCTCCTAACAATAACTAAAATTCTATAGATAAAGAAGGAAGCAAATGAAATCGCAAAGATGGATGACCCCGATCCAGCGTCGCCCTCCTCCTCTTAGAAAACTCGACTTTGGCGAGCTGTTTAGACTGCACCGATCTACTCCGATTAGAGAACACTCACCCCCGAAATCTTAAGGGTGGGACAATGATCGTACCTTTTTGTGTTGTCAACCACAATGATTCTTCATGATCTGCACATTTCTCCCAATGGAAATTTCCAAATTGTATTTTGGCTTTTGTTCGTGAAAAATGAATGATTTGGAAAGCATTTTCCCAAAAAAAATTGCTTGTACTACTTAAAATAATTAATTAATGAAATATGATTTCATTATCGACAATAATTTATGTCTAAATATTTTCATAAACGATGAAAATATTTTTCTTTCATTTATTCTTTTAAGCGATACAAGCAACTCTTTTTGGAAAAATGTTTTCCAAATTATCTATTTTTCACAAAACAAACGAAGTGAATTTTTCCAAAGTTTTCCCTCCACCACAGTACTCTCTATCTTTCAATTCATGCTTTATCAATTTCAATTTCTCAGTCTCCTGGATATCCATGTAATAAAAAATATAATCCTTCTTCGCAAGCCAATCCATAAGTTCCTCAATCGAAATTTATTTTTTGCACGTATTTTGACCTCCATGTTGATCCCCACCTTGGGAAATCTCTCCAACCAAAACTTTCCTGCTTATCCCCTTATGATTTGTCATTCTCTGGGTACGCTAGACGCTGGTTATTCAGCATTGCCGGAATCACTTTACCGAATGGTTGGCCGGGACGTGATTCTCCCGCGTCACCATTTCCTTTCCTCAATCAGGTTTTATCTTCAAGAGCTTCCAATCGAGTAGTCATTGCCTTTGGCCTTCCAACCGAATAGTCATCGCATGTCACCATGCCGAAACCAGTTTACCAAACGGTTGGCTGGGATGTGATTCTCCCATGTCGCCCTTGCCTTCCCTCAATCGGGTTTTATCTTCAAAGAGCTTCCAATCGAGTAGTCATTGTGTTCGGCTTCCAAACTGAATAGCCATCGCATGTCGCCATGCTGGAATCAGTTTACCAAATGGTTGGCCAAGGCGTGATTCTCCCATGTCACCATCTCAATCGGGTTTTATCTTCTAGAGCTTCCAATCGAGTAGTCATTGCGTTCAGCCTTCCAACCAAATAGTCGTCACATTCGATTGTTCTTTCATCTAGCCTATCGAGATACTTTGAAACTATTGTGAAAGAGCCTACAACCCCCGCTTTTTGTTGACAACATGGTTGTCTCCAAAAGGGTCGATGTGGAGCTCGTGTTCTTGCTTTGATACCACCTGACGCAGTGGAAACAGGATAAAAAACCTAAATAACATTAGATTCACCCTATAAAAGTTGCATGCACATCAAAGCGCAAAGCAAATTTTGAATATATACTGGAGAATCAAACTTCACTAAATAAAAAAAATATCCTAATGAGATAACTTCTAAACCAGTAAATAATTTTTACTTGAATAACATACTTGGATTTTTCATACCGAATCTGTAATTTTCTATGTCAGATCCATCTTACAATTATCTTCCACATGTGTTGACACGAATGTATCTGAACGGAATATTTGACAAAATGCTAATAGAGATTTGGGTCAAGAATAATTTGGGGGTAAACGTGTCATGTAAAATCGATTTAAGATTTTTTGTATGACGAAAATTAATTTTGGCTAAACGTATCATAAAAGAACCAATTGGGAAACTTTTATGAAATAAAAAT